TGTTTTGCTTTTCCGTTAAACTATATTTACCTCTTTCCATATATCGGTATATCGAAGAGTTAATTGATGAATTATTTTGTCAATTTTATTTGCCTGAAGGTCAAACTTTGTTATTATTAAATACTTTTAAATATTTTATTTTAAATTAAATGATTTTACCTTTATCATGACACTTTCACATATATAATGTATAATGTATAGCTTTATTGATGTTATTAATAACCAAAGATTAAGACAAATCCATGACATTAATGATTGTAATATTTCTTTTGACACTTTTTGCATTAGCATCATGCATAATCCATAACTCAGTGATGTTATATAGAAAAGATAGATTGCCATTTCAAAAGTTATATGTGTTCCAAATATGAGATTTATTTCACGAGTAATGCGACATAATTCTGAATAAAGATGCCTGTTGAAAAATATAATTCTTTAATAAAACATGTAAAAATTATTTTATGAGAATCTATACATATTAATTTTTGTAATTTATTCTTTAATTTTAGAAATTTAGCAATTTTGTCAAATTTTATATCAAAATTGTATTATTAATAACATCAAATTGATAATCTGTGCGTATGCCGATTTACATTGAAATCCACAATGTTTGTTTGTAGTTATCAATTTGTGAACTGTGATGAAAAATAGCGATAGGTTTCTTCCATTTACATCTCAATCCATGTTCCTCTCTTACTATTAGGCATTGTATATGCTCATTTAATTTGTCAAATCTGGTACCAATATACCTGTACAAATGATATCTAGAAATTGTTAACTGTATCACAGAATCTCAGATTTATATTTAAATTGACAGGTTTTAATAAATAAGTTTAATAGATCGATAAACATGTATAGTATACTATGTATATGTGTGTATAAATTGTTTTATAAAGCGATACAATTTTAATTAAAATAAAAATTATTGAAAATTATGTTGTTTTAAAAAATTATTTTACAAAATAACTAAATAATAAATGTAATAAATGTAATAAATAAATAAATGTTATTTTAATTTGTAGAAATACATACGTTAAGAAGTTGCGCCAAATAAAACTATTATACATATACATATATATGTAAGTTATATTGCATATAAATACATGTAAGCATTTATGTATGTATTGTAAATATTGTACAAACCATAAAAGAAAAATAAATAGTAAGTCCATAAATTCATTGACATGGCTACCGTAATTCATTATATGAGATAGAAATAATCTCCAATATTTAGTATCTTTTTTTAGACTTATCCACCATATTGTTTGAGTAAAGTTTACAGCAAGACAATATACAATCCATCCCATTATCACTGATTTTGAATATATATATGTTTTTTGATACATCTTGGGAATGTTCAATTCTTTCAAAGTATCATTTACAGCAGCAAGCTTCTTCATGCTTATTTGAAATCTCTAAAATAAATTAAATGATAATTACATATATACCCAAATAGCAAAATGCTAGCAGTATGCCAGCACTGTGCCAGCAGATCCGATCATGACTTCGCAGCAGATTTCAAGCTACTACTTCCCAATTAAGCTTAGTTTTTTGCGACACATCTTCTCATCATGGAATAATGATAAAAAGACGATAAAAATCGAGCATTACTTGCTATCTCATTGTGGCAGCAGATATATAGCAGATATCGTGCAAAGTTTGCCATATCAAATACTGGCAGCAGAAACGCAACAGAAATCGAGCACAGTGTGCCGTCACGATGTGACGACAAAAACGCAGCAGAAATTGAATGAATAGAGCCTGCTAATATGACATGTTGGCAAATTAACAATAGAAATCGAGCAAATTCTGTTTCGTAAATATTTAAATAACATTGTTATTACTAAAAAATTTTGAAAAATGGTGTCTCTATTATTTTTTCTATCTCTTATTTTAAAAGAATAATTTTTAATTATTTTACTAATAATGAAATTAATATATTTTTTACAGCACAAATAAGTTATAAAAAGCTTTTTAAAGATATAAATTATGATTCTTTTGATTTTTATATAACGTATCAAATAATGTATCAAACATTGTACATTTTATATAATGTATTATTTCCTAGGTACTACACTTCGTTAACTATCTTGTTGAACAATTACGTTTTGCAAGCGCATAAAAATATATAAATAATACATAAAATATATAAATAATATAATACATAAAAATATACATACAAAATATACATACATAAAAATATATAAATAATAAATACATGTTAAATTTTGATTATAATTTCACTCATAGAAAGTTTGATAAATTTTGTATGCGAAAAACGGATGCAATCTAGCGGTAGTTTTCTAATTATTGTGTTTAATGACAGACGTAGAGTTTTGTACAATTTCTGTTGCTGGCAGATAAGGCCAGCAGGCCTTATTCGATTTCTGTTACAATTTTGCCGCCACGACGTGACGGCATATTATGTTTAATTTTTGCCTATACCTTTTTGCTTACAACAGCTGATAAGTAGAGAGTGGTCATGCCACCGCAATTTTGTCATCACGTCGTGACAGCACATTGTGCTCGATTTCTGCTGCGTTTCTGCCGACACATTGATAAAGCGGTGTCTACAATGAGATTTTAAGACTTAAGAAATTGGCCAATCATAATCGATTATTCCTCTATAAATCGATTGTGGTTGACTAATTTCTTAAGTCTTACATCTTAAAGTTTCATTGTAGACACCGCTTAAATGTCGGTCCACAATAAGTATTTAATCTTTAAACCGTAAGAAATTGATCAATCATAGTCGATTATTCTTTTCATATTCAATTATAATTGATCAATTTCTTACTTCTTAAAGCTTAAATCTTCTATTGTGAACCGATACTAAGGCGGATCGTGCTTTTCACCTGTCGAAATTTTGCCGTCACGATATGATGGCACACTATACTCCGTTTCTGTTGCGTTTCTGCTGCTAGTATCTGACGTCATAGATTGTGTTGCATTCTTGTGTTGTTCTTGCCGCATTTTTGCTGTCACAGTGTGAAAAAATAGATATGCTAGATTTTTTACTACATTTTTGCAACATGTCTTGACGGCATATCATGCTAAATTTTTGAATATTTTCTGTTAAATATTGTGACAACACAAAATGCTTGAATTCTGATGTATTTATGACGACAAACTTTGTTCAATTTTACAGAATTTTTGTATCATGTTATGATACAGAGTTTGCTCGATATGTGCTGCATTTTTGCTGGCTGTATCTGTTACAGCAGCCCATGCTGGATTGCTTCGATTTTTGCCGGCATAATGTGTAGCATAACCGCAATTTGTGCTTTTGGCACGTTTTGCTATCTGGGTATATATGATAATTATGTTTTTAAAAATGTAATTAATGTATAAAGCAAAAAATATATAAAACATTTAAAGTAAGACATTTAATAAAATTATTTAAAAAATCTTTAAAATAACATTAAACTATAAAATGTTTAAATTTTCTATATAATTGCTATATTCAAAGTTTTAATAATATTAAATGTAATTAATACAAAATTATTTAAAAGTAGTATAGTTTATATAAAAGAAAAGAAGATTATAATTACCTTCTGATGATAAAAATTTGTAAGCGTAGATATAATAACAGTAAATAAATTAATTACCATAATAAACATCCATACAAGATTATGGTATAATACTTCCCATGTATAAAGAGTTATTGTATAGTAAAGAAGATAGACATAAATAAACCAGATTGTCAAAGGATACAAAATATTTAAATATGCAATCCATCGAATCTTCGGATTTGGTTGTTTTAGAGGAAAGATGCCTAAACCTATTATAAAGCACATAATCAAAAGAGGACGAAAAACTTGTTGGATAGTAACCGTCATAATTACGACTAACAAACTAACACTAACTATTCAAACTTATTTGCTGGATAAATTACGACTGCATCAATTTATAATGATAATGGATCTTTGTGATAGCAGTATATATTCCTTATAGCACTTTTGTAAATTAAAACGATCGATTTTTTAATGAACAAGAAGATGATTTAGTATTAATGCATAATGCAAACCGTCAAAATAATATTGCTAATTTATTTTTACATGTTTTTTTTATATGAAGCAAACATATTCAATTATTTAACAATTTATTCTTGTCATGTTCTATCTTCTAACACCTTTTTCTAACACTTTTTCTATTATTTTAAAGCATATTGTATATATGTATATAATAAGAATAATAAAAAAATATCGCTATAATGAATATATTTAAGTTATATTATAAAACAAAAATATTTATTTAATATGTAATAATTTAATATATTTGAGAAGAAAATAAAAGGGAAAAGAAAAAGTATATTTATAAAACGTAAAAGTTTTTATTAAGTAGTTCTTCATATATATTTTTCTCTTCAAAAGAAAAGATATATTTGTAATTAAATTAATTTTTGTTAACGTGAAATATAAATAATATAAAATATATAAAAAATAAAAAAATATGTAAAAATATATACTCAGATTATTAAAAGTTAATTTTATTTAAAATATTCTTTATATTGTTGTATATATTTTATTTCTTTTTTGTTACAAAATTATAATTATATCAATATAACCTTGAATTTATATTAGTAATAATTTCGAATAATAAAGAATAGAAAGAATTATAATACCAAAAGTAAGATGAAATACACTTTGTTTTATACATATATATGTTTTTATCTTACAAACACAAAAACTACTATTTTATATTACGTTACTTTTATTAAAAAGCAAATTTTTTAATTGTTTCTTAAAACTCCGTTCCTGACTTAGGTGTGGACATCTGTGCTAAGATAATAATAAATGTTGTAATTGTTGTGATGAACTGAAAAAGATGTATAAATTAAATTTTTATATTGATAAAAATGTTTATCAAAATTTAAATAAATTATTTCAAATATTAACGTTTTTAAAATAATTTATGACAGTTTACATTTTTTTGTTATATAGTGAAATATAATAATAAAGATAAAAGAATATAAAAATTAATGGCATTTTTATCTATAAAATGATAAAAGAATAAAGAAATATAGAAAAATAAATATAATACTAACTTTTCGCAAGAGATTATTGCCAAAATAGAAGAGACCCAGTCCAGTAAATTTTAATGGATGATGTATTAATTGCAATGTAAATTGGTAAATCTGTACACGTAAAATTATTATTTTTGAACTTATAAATTATAT